CCGAGCCTATCGTTCCAATTTTTTAGTATATGTGCTGCCGAAGCGAGCACCATTCAACTAACTTTTAAAATTGTGTGTGTGGGGGTAGTCTTGCTATGTTGCTTAGGGTGGTCTCAAACTCTTGACCTCAAGTAATCCTCCCACTTCCACCTCCCAAAATACGAAGTGCTCGGATTACTGGTGTGAGCCATTGCACCCAACCTGTCCTGTACTTTCATTTGCTACGTCTAGTGACCCCAACAGCATGGCAAGGCCCACATGTGAAACCAGGCCACCAGGTAAGAGCTGAAATAGGGAGACAAAGCTTCCCTCCCATGCCTGGAGGTGGCTGGGAAGAAGGAGCCAAAAGGGTTGAGAGTTCCTTGGCCCCAAGGGACTGGGTGAGTCCAGAAGGCCGCCCAGGTTAGAGGGAGGCTGCCAGAGTAGGCCGCAGAGCCTGCCCCTAGGTCTGCGGAAACGCAGGTCCTGAGGGAATGGAATGGAATTTCACCCTGACCTAGCAGAGGAGGAAGAGGAAATGAGGGCCCTACACCTCGTCCTAAGGAATGTGCCGGGGGAAGGGGGGGCTCCGGAGGAGGGAAGGAGGACAGAGAAGGGGAGACTGTTTGGAAGTTTGTGTCTCCATCTTGTCGCGCTCACTTCCTGTTTTCTTGGAGATCAAAGATGGGCACGGAGGGACTGGCCTCATGTCCAGCCAACACCAGCTCTGAGGAGGGGGGCAGGGAGGCTTCTTCTGAGTCCTAAGCTGTCTGTAGCCTCACTCGGCCTCCTTCCTCACCTTTCCACAGCTTGCTGGCCTCTGGCCCCCTAGAGGTCAGAAAAGGGTGCAAGATGGCTGTCCCCTGCTATGGCACACCACTCTCGGCTCTGTCCTGGGAAGAGAAGCCCTGCACAAGGACATCTGGACACCACGGAGGCCCAGGCTTCACAAGTCCTGGTTTTGGCCCTATTCAGGGACTCCAGAGTGCCTTGGCAATAGTTTGGTTCAAAGCAAGATCACTGGAGCCAGAATGACTTGCGTTTGAATTTCAGGTCCAACACTCACTACCTGTTGGTGAATGGTTTCACCTCCTGCAGCTTCAATTTCTGGTCTGTGAAATGACAGTAAGAATAGAACCAACACAATCCAGAGAGGTTGTTAGGAGGACTCCATGGGACAGGGCATGTGGCAGTTGTTTTTATTATAATTATTCTATTGACTTCAGGCAGTGCCTATGGCTCAGTTGGTAGGATGCCAGCCACGTACACTGAGGCTAGCGAGTTTGAACCTGGCCTAGGCCTGCTAAAACAACGATGACAACTGCAACAAAAAATAGCCGGGCGCTGTGGCAGGCGCTCTGGTCCCAGCTACCTGGGAGGCTGAGGCAAGAGAATCGCTTAAGCCCAAGAGTTCAAGGTTGCTCTGAACCGTGATGCCACAGCACTCTACAGAGGGTGACATAGTAAAACTGCCTCAAAAAAAAAATTATTCTATTGACTTCAGTCTCTGTAGAAGAATTGAGTGTCTAAGGGGTGGGATAAAGTGGCAGGTTGGGGCAGCCTGCAGGTAACGGTGCTCTGGTGGGTATCACTGGGGTCTCCCTCACCCCAGTACAACCAAAGGCCAGTGTCAGTTCTTGCTATCTCATCACTCTCTGCCCCACCAGTCACCCATCTCCCTGCACCATCTCCCTTCCCTACCAGGGACCACCAGCTCCTGCTCTACACATGCGGAGACTGGGGCACGGAGAGGCAGGATACAGCAAAGGCCCACAGCACACAGCTGACCCAGCTGGGCCTGGGACCCACCTCTCTCCACCTGATCAGGGTCTGGGCTGCAGACTAGTGCAGTGCCTCCCTCCTTCCCTTTGGACTTTCCCTGCCCTGTCCCCAGACTTCCAGGAACCCCAGTTCCTCCCCATTGCTGGGGCCGCCTGGGGCCACCTCCTCCATGCCGTCAGCCAGCGGGAGAGGCCCTGGGCCTGGCTATTATGTAATGATCAGATAACAGGCCAGGCTGGGAGATCAGATAAGAGGTCCATTTATTTTGGGGCCTTTCGAATCCTGGCTGCCCCCACCCCTGCAGACGAGAATGGGGAGACAGGAGGGAGTATGACGCCTGGGCCTGTCTCCGGAGTCCAAGGCGGGCCCAGACCAGGCTGAAAACAATCCCCTGGCACCAAGGGAAAAGCCAGCCTCCCAGGACCAGTCAGAGGGGCCCAGGCGGCTGGAGCCCCTGAGTGAGAGGCCCAGGAGCCACCTCCTCACCACTGACTCCTCTCTGCCTCCCCACCCACAAGAACATAGCCTCCTCCTGGACTTTCTAAACAGCCACCCCTAGCACTTTGGAGGCCACAGAGGATAATGGTTAAGAAAAGTAGCTCTGGAGCCAAGTGGCCAGGATCAAATCCCAGCTCTGTCTCTTAAAAAGCTTGTCACCTTGAGCAGAAGCCTAGCCTCTCTGAGCCTTGGTCTCCCCACTTGCAGGCCAGTGATAACGGCAGCAGGTGCTGTTCCGTGCTTCCTGGGAAGCCAAGGTCCTGTTTCCAGGCTTTGCTCATTTACTCACGTGACCTTCCAGCAGCCCAAGAGGCAGGTGCTGTGCCAACACCCATCTATTACAAGCGAGGCAGCTGAGGAGTAGGGAGGTTAGAGAATGTGTCCAAGGTTACCTCCTACTCAGTGGCAGGGTCTGGATTTGAGCCCAGGTGGTCTGGCTCTAGCACTGGGCCGGCCTTTGTGCTGGTTTGATGAGGTAACCCTTGTCAAGTGTGTGGCACCCACCCTGTGGGTGCTCTGGACAGAGAAGCTATGAATATTATTTCATAATACCAGGGACGCCAGGGCAGGTACTTTTTTTTGAGACAGAGCCTCAAGCCATTGCCCTGGGTAGAGTGCGGTGGCATCACCGCTCACAGCAACCTCCAACTCCTGGGTTTTAAGCAATTCTCTTACCTCAGCCTCCCAAGTAGCTGGGACCACAGGTGCCCACCGCAATGCCTGGCTACTTTTTGGTTGTAGTTGTCATTTTTGCTTGGCAGGCCCAGGCTGGATTCAAACCCACCAGCTCTGGTGTATGTGGTTGGCACCTTAGCTGCTTGAGCTACAGGTGCTGAGCCAGGGCAAGTACTTTTTGACAAA